AATCTTCATGTGACAGATAAAGATAAGCCTCTAAATTTTCTACAGCAAGTAAGATAATTAATCCCAGGGGATTAATTGTACTGCTCTCATCCTTTTCTTCTAAATTTACAATAAGATCTTTTTTCAGCACTGACAGAATGGGGTTATTATCTGATTACCTGTTAAAATTAACAGCATTAAGGCAGCAAAAAAAAAAAAAAATTTTATATTAGTAATAATATAAAAAGATATCTTAATATATATCTTGATTTTTGAATTCAGTAAAATTATCATAAATCATTGTGAACAGCATTTTAACCAAAATAAAGTATGAACATTATTTTAAATCCATATTTCAGAGAATGTACACATCATTCAAAATTGACCTTAACTTCAAAACAAAGTTCATTTGCAGACTGAGGCCATACAGTAATTAATCTCAATGTGACAGATAAAGATAATGTTTAGGATTTTCTTCATGTGGAAGGTTAATTAATCCCAAAGGACAAATTGCACAGCCTTCTCAGTTTACAATGGTAACATTCTCAGCAGTTATCTCTCTTTACCCATTTATTCTTATGCATAGTTAAGGAATCTACCCCAACACCCCAGCTCCAAACCAGAAGACATAGAGAACCAAACTTAGCATCAAAATATGTATTTCTGCCTATTGAACTACCAAACCAAAATTGAACTTGATTGGGCAACCATAAAAAAAGTTATTAGAAAAAAACAGAAAATTTGTGGTCGGAAGAATGACAGATGGACAGACAGACAGACAGACGGAGTGATTTCTATAGGGCACCCGCAAATCCTTGCGGGCCCCAATTATTCACTGTTAAATTTTTAGTTTCCACGTAGTTTATCAATGTTTGTCACAAATTATCAATATTGTATACAACTTTACTTATTCCTAACTAAATTTAATTTTGATCACCTGTTGTGTCCACTTTCTACCCAAGGGTGTCAAGATTTGACCATGATACAAGGGTTGATCCAAAAGTAATGTCACTGTGTCCATATCTTAAATATTTGGCGTCATATTTTCAAATATAATGTATCAAAAGATGCATAAAAATAAATCTAATTAAAATTAAAAATTTCATTTAATAATGTTTAATTGAATTCATTTTATAGACGTTTAAAACATTAAACATAGTGGGTGTCGCCGCATCACAACTAAACGTCACGTTTTAAAGTGTATATTGTTAAAATGAAAAAAGACAAGCACATTTAAAAAAGCATCTTAAAAGCGTCTAATCGCCCAATATTTTAAAAGACAAAATTTATGACATTTTTTAGTCTTTAGTTAAAAAGTAAATGACATCATTGTTTTTTTATCATAAACATTGTTGTTTATATTTGATGTATTGAACTAACGAAATGTCAAAATGGAATAAAACGCCTATATATCTACGAGATGTAATGTGTTTTACAGCTCGTTTCAGACCCCATTCAACGTTTCCAACCGACCTCCTATCTTTCGGTCTTTCTGTCCTCAGCTGATCACTCAATGACCCATGACCTGCCCAAAGTCACTGAAACCATCTATTAAAAAGTCTCTTGTTTACATTCTTTCCTCAGTGAGTCTGATTTATCATGGTAACTGTCTCTACTGGCGATTTCCCGATTTTGATGGGGTCTGAAGTTGTTAAAAAAGAGAGACGTGTCACAGTCTGACCGATACGACTATAAGAAACTTTAAGTTTGTCTTATGGTACTGTTCAAAGATAGAGGACTAAATCATAGACAAAGTGAGTGTACAATTGATGCCAATAATTCTCAAAGAAAGTAAAATATGCGAATGTGTTTGTGAATCTCAATTTTTTTTTTTGATGAGACGAAGGGGGAAGCGTTGAAGTTATCCGTCTTATGACGTTATTAAGGCATGGCAACTACCATAATCGCACTTTGTATATAATTCGATATTTTGAAAAGTATAGATCATTTTAATTTGAATTTTTCAGGACTGATTTGAAATCAATATAGCTTCCATCAAGTATAATTTTCTTGATTTACTAGTAGCAATTTTATAGAAGTTGTGACATTACTTTTGGATCAACCCTCGTATAAACAAATTTGAATCTTCACTACTTGAGGATGTTTGCACAAAAGTTACATCTTTCTTGGCCTAGTGGTACTGAAGAAGAAGATTTTAAAAGAATTTTCCTATGTATTCCTATGTAAAAACATTAATTATCCATTGTGGCCCCATCCTACCCCGAGAGTCATCATTTGAACAAAATTGAATCTATACTACCTGAGGATGTTTCCATATAATGTTCATCTTTCTTGGCCTAGTGGTTCTGGAGAAGATTTTTAAAGTTTTCCTATGTAAAACTTGATTGTCCACTGTGGCCCCGCTCTACCCCTGGGGGTCATCATTTGAACAAACTTGAATCAACACTACTTGAGGATGTTTCTATATAAGGCCAGCATTTTTTTATTTTTAGGTTTTCAAGTTTTTGAATTTTCAGAAAAAAAATAAAATTGAGAAAAACAGAATTTTTTCTTTCCGATGTCAAATTTGAGTGGAGATGATTTCAAATTTACGAACTCATACTTCCGGTTTTAAATGCATGATGGCGGGTAATGAATGTAGATTTGTAAAGTCCATAGCAGCACTAAAGGTTGGTTTAATGTAAATATTTATCCATAGGAGTGCCATTCAAAACGTTTCACCCGTTCTGAGAACAAATAAAATTGACGACTTTGTTGCACGATGACATTTTGGCGAGATAAATACGTATCCATATTCAAAAGTGTCATCTGTCTGTAAATTATTTTCCTCCCACAGGTTTAAAACTGCCCATGGTAGCTATTATCAGAGACATTGTTTAGGTCTCTGTTATAGCTTACAGTCTTGTATCATTCTTCAGAAAAGGGTAGTTTATGCAGCAGATGTAATGAATAAAACTATCAGAGAAGTTAAGTTCATTTGAGGAAGAAATAAACAATAGCCTAGAGAAATAAAATATTTCAACTAATTAAAAAATAAACAAGTATAATCAAATATATACAGGCATGTAGTATCGTTTGTGTCAGCCAGAAAAGTTATTTTACAATTGATTGAAAAAAAATTCTATCCTACTCCCCAGTACTGCCTGTCTGTTTTATGAAAGGAATTATTATTTTAGGTCTCAAGTTAAGTATATTTTAGAACAATTTCAACACTTTCACCTAACACATATTAAAAACAAAAATGAAGATATATATTGAAAGAGTTTTAGAAAATAATTTTAAAAAAAATCTTTCTTTTTTTTGTCCAGCATTACAAGACTTATATCACTGGCCCCAACTGGTAGATGATGAAATAAACAAAGGTTTTATTTTCCCCTTTGTAACTCTTATGTGTTCAGTTGCAAGGAGCCTGTTAGGAAAGCATAAAAAAGAAGCAAAAATTAATGTAGAAAAGTCGATAATGTATCCCAAAAATAATTTTATTTTTATTTTTATTTCCTCCTCCTACGGGACTTTTTCATTCTGATGTTCGTAAACCTAAAAATAAAAAAATGCTGGCCTAAGTTTCATTTTTATTGGCAATGTGATTTTGGAGATGATTTTTAAAGAGTTTTCCTATGTCTAACTTTGAGTTTTTCTATGTCACACTTTTATCATCCATTGTGGCCCAGCCATAATCCCAAGGGTCATGATTTTAACAAATTTAAATATACACTTCCTGAGAATGCTTCAAGGCTTTGTTGTTCTTAAGAAGATGAATTTTAATGAGTTTTCATATAATTATAATCTTATGTAAAACTTTGATCGTCCATTTTACCCCAGGGGCCATGATTTGAACAAACTTTGGTCTAGAAACTACCTGAGAATGTTTCCACACATCTTCACTAGCCAAGGGTTTCCGATCCGATGCCTACTCTACAAGTAGAGTAGGTATCGGATCGGAAACCCTTGGCCAACGAAGATGGTTTCCACACAAGTTTCATCTTTCTTGGCCCAGTGGTTCTTGAGAAGAACATTTTCAAAAGATGCCATTAATTTTTCATTTCAAGAAACTTGAATATCCCTTTCCCATGGTCACTTTGTGGCAAGTTTGGTTGAAATTGGCCTAATTGTTTCTTGAGAAGAAGTCAAAAATGTGAATAGTTTATGCACGAGGCAAGCACACATGATGACAGACGAAAACAGCAATAGGTCATCTGAGTTACTCAGGTGACCTAAAAATTATGATGCGGTTAAATACCTTGACTCATCAGTATGTATAAGCAATGAAGTTTGATAAATATTTATTTTAAATTGAATAAAAACTAATATTAGAAAAGTTAGGTCAAGGTCAATGGAAATGTCAAGGTCAAAAATGTTTATTCAGTTGAATAGCTTACATTAGTATATATCAGCGTATGAGGTTTGATTACACCATCTTCAATAATTTCATTAAACCAAGCTAACTCTAATTTAAGATTGATTGTATATTGTTTAACGTCCCTCTCAAGAATTTTTCACTCATATGGAGACGTCACGGTATGCCGGTGAAGGGCTTCAAATTTTGACCTTTACTCGACACTCAGGGCCATTGAGCAGTGAGGGATCTTTATCGTGCCAATGCCTGCCGCTGACACGGGGCCTTGGTTTTTTAGGTCTCATCTGAAGGACCCGCAACTTTCACTTCAAAGTGCTGAGCACATGGCGAAGGAACAGTTGCTACCCATTTTATCGACTGGGCCAGTCGCAGCCAAGATACGAACTCACAACCTCCCGATCACGGAGCGAGCGCTCTACCGACTGAGCTATCGTGAACGGTTTCTATTTTAAGAAAAGTGAAGTCAAGGTCAAGGTAAAAAAAAGTTGGATCCAGTTGAATCAATATTTATCAGCATAGGAAATCTGATAAAAATATATTTCATAGTTTTTTAAAACTTAGCTTTGAACTGCGCTAAACAAGAGCAGGGTGGAAGAACAGAATGACAGGAGACAGACATGACAAACTCTAACATAAACTCTAAATGGACCAGCAATTTTCATGGCTGGACATTAATATCAGAGGGCTCTTAAATTTCACCTACCCTTATAGCAAGGTCTGTGCGCCCAACCTCTAGGGCATGGCTAGCAATATCAGAATATGAGATTCCTGGGGTATCTCCAAGCTTTTGGTTAATAGCTCTAGCTATAGCCTCATCATCCTCTGTCTTTTGCTGCACCTGTTCAGTTAACCAGACATTAAAACAGTAGAAGTACAAGGGCTGGTCAAAAATTACACGGACTCTGCTATTATTTACTCTTACAGACGTCATATGAAATTTCACAGATATATGCATCTTAAAGATTCCAATAAATTTTGGGCAAAATTTCTGCATTTTGAAAAAATTCACCTAAAATTATCGCTGTGTTGAAATTGCTGATGGAGAGATACAGAGCATGACAAAAAAATTTGAAACAAAAGCATGCGGAATCCAAAATTTAACTCATTTTTCTATAATACGTGATATTTTTCAATAATTTTCTCAATTGTTTCTTTATATTGTTCTATTATTATGTATTTAGATTTCTGTCGTGATATTTGAAGAACTAACAGAAATGTTATGATTTTTCTCCGAAGCGATTCCTTTGAAAACGATTGTGAAAATGACGTCTTCTGAACTGATGGAGCACCACACTTTTGTTAAATTATATGTAATGCTCTAGATATCACCAACATAGATCCAAAATATGCATAATAAAACATGTAATAAAATAGGGTTTTTGTGGCTTTGTTTACAAATGGCAAATTGGAATTTTAGACCATTAGACCTCTGTAAAAAGGCTATATGAGAGGCATACATGTTAACTCTCCCGATTTAGGCGGGAGTCTACCGCTTTTTCACTCCATCTCCCGCCTACCGATTTAATTCAGAAATCTACCGCTTTTCTACAAAAGCTGCGTCTAAAGTATTTTTGGTCCGCTTGGGTATCCATTTTTGAAGCCACTCTCATAAAATCTTGCTAGATATCGCGTGATTTGACTCGGAATCATACAAACGCTTTTTTTGTACATAGATTTCAAGCACGGATTTGACAACGACAACAACATAAGACTACCAGTGATTACATTGGTTACGATAAATTAATCAACATCCCTGCCATGAAAAAGGAGATACAGCTTTTAAGAATTAGATGAAAACATTTGACATCGTCTTTAAAAGCACAGAAGCTCACAACTTTATCAATAAAGTCAATAGAAATCACTCGATTGACCAAGTCATGTGGCACATCTCTACTTTCGTTTTAAAACGGGAAATCTGACTTATATAACGAAAGATACGAACTTGTTTTAGATCTAGATTAAACCAAGCCATCATTTGTTTTGTTTAAAAACTGAATGAACATTCAGAATTATTGCTTCTAGGCTATTTCAGCAAAGATCACTCTTCAAAAGGCTAAGTAAAGCAGCCAATCCAAGCAAAATGATGAGCATGAAAAATATTTGAATTTGTACAATTTATGTCAAACTTAAGGTGTTTCTGTCTTCTTCTTTGCTGTTGATATTTAAGATTAATTAGTGTAGGTACCTGATTTCATTTAAGGCTTATAATATACATTTATATTACATGAAAGATATCGATAATCCAAGCGTTAAACAACACGCGCGCAATGCTACCGCTTTTGAGGTCTGAATCTCCCTCTTTTTCATCATAATAGGTTAACATGTATGTGAGAAGATGGGAAGAAGATTATCGACAAAAACTTTATACAGACTGTAAAGAACGGGATTGAGAGTGACCAATGTCACACTTTCTCCTATAAGTACCTGCAGTTTTTAGTTTTAAAAGAAAAAAAGAATATGCTTCACTTGTTTTATAGAGTTTAAGCTTGACAAGAAATCGTCTATGAATGTTGAGTAGATTTCGTAGGTCAAATTGTACAGGAGCTCTTAGGAAAATGTTGAGAAAATGAAAGATCATATTATTTTTAGAATGCCCTTGACGTCGGAGATTTTGCTGTTCTGTGACTTGATAATATATCCTGATAAATCAACCAAAATTGATATCAATTTGCAACATTTTTATATGAAATTTTGAAGACCATATAAGTAAAGATTCTTTTATATTATTGTGTGACATTTTGCCGGATTATGTCGTCAAATATTTTTTCTGTGCAACAAGTCTGCACAATTTTTGGACAACCCTCGTATAATGCTTAAATTTATTTTTGCCTTTGGCTCAGGTGAGCTAAATATTGAAAAACAAAAAAGTTTAAAAATTCGCATTTTTAAATTCGCATCTCCTAACTAACAGAAGTACTGATGATGAACAAGAAGTCACGTCCTGGAAAGAAGTTATCACAACCTATAATCCCTGAAAGTTTCAAATTGATTTCTTTTACCGTTCTTGAGGTTATTTGTGGACAAAATGTCATTTTAAATTCAGGAAATATCCCGTAACTTGGCACCGGAAGCCAAACATGCCAACTTTTGAAAATTCCCATGGGGGATTTAGCGCGTGATGACAATTTTCAAAGCTTTAAATTCACGACATTTTGTCATGAAATTAAATGATTATGAAATGATCTTTTTAAAATTTATAATATTGATATCACTTATCAATACAACTTAGGAATTAATTTAACACAAAAAATGTTTTCTTTCCAAAATTGAAATATTTTTGCTAAAATAGGTGCCTCTCTCACTAAAGAAGGGGTATTTAGTTACATATGTAAACTTTTTTTTCTACCAGGACACATAACTTAGTGAAAAAATGAAAATTGCACAATTTTTAACCATTTTTTTTTCAAAGGCTGAAAAAAAAAAAAAAATGAGGTTTTGATACTGTAAAGTCATGTTTCTGGAAACATTTCTGAGCTTTTTTTTTTTTTATATTTAAATTAATTAGAAATTCTAATAAGATATTGAATTTACAGAAATTTATACCACCTAACTAAAAGAGAATTATTTTTTTTTTTTACATGCAGTCATTAAATTTGTCAGGCTTGATGGTGCCATGTGGGTACGAGGGCTGTTCGAAAATTATTGAGACATTGTGTATATTTTGCTTTCTAATTAACGTATTTCGGTGAAAATTTGCATGTACGCTTGACATACATTGAGAATTAATAAAAGCAAAAAATATTTTACATTTGTTAAATATTTTCTGTACAATGGTATATAAATGCGTCATCAGTAGGAGTATCCGGAGCAGTCTCGAAATCAGATATTGAAAATATGTAACAACAACGTTCTAACTCTACGTGGACCCATAATAAGGTCGAAAATAATTCTGTTTAATATGTGTATAATTTTTCAGCTTTAATTCAAATTCATGTTGTGCAACTTTGATAGAATTTTGATCAGGAATTCAGAGATCATAAAAAAATTAACGCAGTTGAGAAATCTGCTAAGAACGAAAAAATGGATTTTGACGTCAAGGGCGGAGCAGCGAACATACCTAAAATTTTGTGTAGCGCCATGTAGAACTCTTTTCCAGACACAACGACCTGTTAAAATAATAACTACGGGTAAAAAAATAATGCGTTAGTGTTTTTTGATTAATTGGTATACATTTTTTTAAAAATTAATTCAACCAGAGTGACATCAAAAGCTCCGGAAGACCCTCAGTTATTACGTACGGTATAAATATCGTTACGGTATCAGTATCGTTGACCCGCGTTGCATAAATCAGCACTGCATGATTTTAAGTCATCTTTTCCCAAATATGAAAATATTACACTCGAGTAGCAACAGCATACATTTTTAAGGAATAATTTAGGAAAAGAGACTGTTTGATTTTTGTACTTTTATATGTAATAGCAAAGAAGGAACAAGATTAAACGCTTCCCGATCGTTTTACATGCGAAACCGTCCCTGGTTGACGTGACGTTAAAATGACATAGTGATGCTGCTCCGGGTCGATAGACATATGCATGTTTATTATTTCACTGAAACTTTTCTTATTATCATAGGAATTAGAAATTTTGCATAAATGTTTCATTCGTTCTTTATAAAATGCTGATGAATTTTCCTGAAATTATCTCCGTCCTTTATGGAGTAAATGTAATTGTCTCAATAATTTCCAAACAGCCCTCGTATTTCCTTAAGGTCAAGATCTAGTAAATGAAAGGTGCCTACAGATTTATCAAACTTGAGAAATAAATTTCTTTATTGATGCTTTACAACTTCAGCTTGGTCAAATAAGGTGTTTCGGGGTATAATTTGTAGATAAACAAGATGAAAAACTGTATTTTAAACTGTCATTTTCAATGAAAAATTAAGAAGACCAGTCATGAATATAGGAGTTTTTCTCATATTCGACAAAGGAAATGTATCCAGATTGCCTACAGTCTCTCAGAAAACGGTAATTAGTATGTTTATGGCCTCTTCTTTAAATCAATATCAAATTTAATATGGGTATCTGGTTTACTTTTCATATGATTTCAAATTGAATGACATGAAAATACCTTATTTTCTACATAATTCTGCTAATGTCGTAAAGTACTGGAAAAAGACAGCTGAATTTGATTATGACGTCATAATGGATCTAGCACCAAAAAGTAGTCTCAAGTTATTTACTAGATCTTTACCTTAAGTCATGCACATACCTAACATACAATATTACTTTTGGGAGAAGGGAGGGAAAAGAAATTCTAACTGACATACACTTGATTGTTTCATCTGAATTTTTTCATAATATTTTAACTGGCAAACTTTGCAATATTTTTCACTATAGGTAGATAAAATCAGCAGCTATGCTTTGTAGTTTTCTACTTTTGTTTTCAAAAAAAGATCTCTTTGGATTCCGATTTTATGGTTTGATTAGTATTTTATTGTCTTTAACTTATGTTTTTAATAAAAAATGACTAATAGTTATCACGTTAATCTATGTGTTTCACCCTGCATACCCCTTAAAACTGACAAGATAATCCCCTAATTGCCCCAATTAAGCTATAAGCTACTTGTACCTGAACAACTGCGTGTGTTCAAGCGTGAAGTGATTTCCTGTGGCTATAGGCCTAATTAACACCTGGTTAAATAAACAATGAAACCTATCTGTGTGCTTTGAATAAACAAGTCTGATATTGTTATCACAATTGTCAAAATTCAGCAGCAGGGCAACTTTTAAAATCTGAAATTTTAAGGTGATTGTTTTCAAATCGGGAAATTAGGGCAATTTTTCTCTCCTGATCGGGTAGGTGGGATGAAAGGGTGAAATCGGGAGGATCCCGCCTAAATCGGGAAAGTTGGCATGTATGGGAAGCGAATTACCAAAAAATCTCTTGGATTAAATAACTTCAGATAACAACACATTGTTCCTGTTAAATTTCATGAAAATCCACCCATTAGTCTTTGAGAAATCATGTGCACAAAATTTGATGTATGGAAAAAATAATAACTAGAAATGATCTCATTGAAAACAATGAGAGGAGAGGTCTTCTGTCTGATTCTGAAAAAAAACACAATTGAGCTAAAAAGTGTAAAAAAAAAAATACAGATACATAGGAGATTAACCCGTATCCAACGCACTGACCATTACGCTATTTGGGACCACCGCTTCAAATTTTAAAATGCGAATATCTCAAGATAGGCATGTTTAATTCTAAAACAAATTACATATTTAACATCTCAAAAGAGTCTATATTGAGCTTACTAATATCAAAGAAAAATATTGAAAAACAAAAAAGTTGAAAAATTGGACTTCTGATAGTGGTCTCTGACCAATAGAGCGAAAAAAGAAAAAAACAATTTGTTCCCAAACTTTGTTTGGGGAAAATTATTTGGTTCAAATGACCCAGTAGTTGATAGTTTACAACAACAATGACATACAAAGGACAAATTTTGGTCAGAGGCACTCACATGAACCTTTGTTTTATAGGTGAGCTAAAACTATTTAATAATTTTTTTTATACCTTGTAGCAAGCCCAGTGGGCCAATATTCTACTAGCACCCTCTCCATCTGGTATTTTCAGATACTGACAGATTTTTACTGCATAATAAAACAATTTCCTGAGCACCAGTCGATCTATCAAAATTGGCATCGTCAAATGCTGTAACCTTTAACTGGTTAAGTAAAAAAATAATGCTCAATCACTGTATATTTGTTCAATTGTACAATCAATTGATCAAATGTAGTTTAGAACTAAGAAACATTAAACACTTTAAGATATTTAATGACACAAGAAGCAAGGACCTTAACGGTCACCTGAGTATAATGTAACAAATGTAAAGGATCCACTGAAGTATAAACTATATTTATAAATGAAATATTTACTGACAGATGAAGCTTTGTTGCCAAAAAAGCAAGCAAAATATGATGATTTACTTAGCGATTTATTCTCTGAACGTCTACTCCCTAAAACAACTATTTAATTATCACACTCAATTAAGAGAACCTATAAGGGGTCAGGTAGAGTTTACCTGTGTTACCTTGATTTAATCAAATTCTTTACAATGACAGACAAGGGACAAATTTCGATCAGAATAACTCACTTGAGCCTTCGTCTCAGGTGAGCTAAAATGCCATTAATTTTTCACTTATTCATAATTATCTCCCCTTGGAAGAGGGCATGGCCCTTCATTTGAACAAACTTGAATTCTATTTAAGCAAGTGAGTTAAAGCCATATATGGAGGCTTGTATGCAAAATATTTTTTTTTTAAACCATAATTGCTATAAATACCGCACAGAAAATGTTAATTAAGACTTGTTTTCTAATACACTCTTGGTACCCAAGACATGCAATAGCCAGTAAACAATATGATGTCATATTATGACATCATCAATCTGTACATGTCTACACAAGTTTACAAGAAATTACAACAAAATTTATTCAGCACAAGGGCATACCCTACTTTGTTTTACAGAAAATGGTATGAAGAGACGCAGCATATTCCAAGGATTTAAGACATTGCTGCACAAATGTTGACACTGCAATTGTTTAGTTACTATTCATGCAGTTTTAAGTTAAAACAGGGTAAAAATTCACATTCCAGTGTAATTTTCCTAAAATTTTTATTGATTGAGAAAGTGCATAGGATTTGTGAAGTAATTTTATTTATTTTAAGAATATTTTCCTTAACATTATACATTATTTATTTTGAATTAAGTAGGATATGTCTTTGTGCTAATGTTGTTTTATTGATGTGTTTTATTACCTTGAATGGGAAAGAACAATGATGTCATACTACGACGTTATAAAATGCTCTTGCTTTAAGATGCTGTGGCTACTAAATATGTAAAAGAAAAAATCAATTTGAACTTTCTCTGTACATAAAATATACAACTTACGCATTTTTATTACATACCCTGAGACGTGCTACTACCCCAAAAAAGCATGCAACTTTCGTGCGCTTTCCGTTTCGTGCAAACCATATAGCGTTTCGTGTAAACTGTGCAGCGTTTCGTGCAAACCGTGTAGCGTTTCGTGTAAACCATGCAGTGTTTCGTGAAAACCATGTAGCGAGCGTGCGAGAAGCGTGTGAGAAAGGTGAGACTTTCGTGCAAGATCTGTGTGAGAAAGGTGCAACTTTTCGTGCAAGAATCATGTAAGAAATGTGTAAGATTCATTCAGAAGTCGATTTCATTTTTAATTTGGCTATCGATTGGTCAGGATGTCAAATTGTGTTAGCATTTTAATTTATTAGTTATTCTTGTGGTATTTTAGGAGTTAAAAAATGGGAACAGCTAAATGAAACAAGAAATCTGTGAGCCAATGCTCACTAGTAATACCCCCGCTCTGATGTAAATATAAGCACTATCATGTTAATATACACAAGTTCAATTACAGGCAGATGCACAGAAAAATATGAAGTTGACATCAGATTCATATCAAAATTAATCCTATCATATGGCATGCCTCAACAAAGAGTGTAATAAAATTTCAAGCATCCGCTATAAATAGCTAATGAGAAAACTGCGACGTAGATTTGTTATGTATGAAACGGACAGATGCACAGACAAACAGGAAGTTGACATTGGATTTGAGCGAAAATATATCCCACCATATGGCATGCCTAAGAGAAGATTGCATTAAAATTTCAAGCATCTACGATGAGTAGTTGCTGAGAAAACTGCGACGAAAATTTGTTACGGACAGCACACGGACACACAGACAGACGGACACACAGACACACAAGGGTAAAACAGTATACCCCCCGCTCCGAATAATTACATGGTAATGTATAATACGTTTGTTTGTTTTTTTTCTTTTAAAGAAAATGTGTTCAAATTAATTATATATGTATACACTGTAAATAATGTACATGTATACAACAATTTTAAGGGCAATAAGTTCAATATACTATCAATGCTATCACGGCTTTTAAATATTTGTTTTCTCAAAGAAGGTAATATATACCAGTATTCATACATCTACACATATTATTTACTTTAAGCAGAAAGATACCTGCTCTTGTCTTTACATTTAACCCCTTCTATACCGCATCGGTCAATATGACCGATAGCGCGTTAAAACACGACAACGCGATAACAGGACCTCCATATCTTTTTAATAATAGCATTAAGGTATATAAACTATATATCATCTTTTAAGAAATTTCCTCTACTTTCAGACCCTGTAAAAATTCGAGCCTTATTAATAGGTAATGAATAGATTTTACGTTTTGAAGACATTCATGACTTTTTGAAAATGACGCAATTTTCCAATTCCCAATAATGGCCCCGCCCTTCCCCCGGGGGTCATGATTCCTACAATTTATAATCTACACTACCCCAGAATGCTTCCACATAAGCTTCACTTTTTCTGGCCCAGTAGTTCTTGAGAAGAAGATTTTCAAAGATTTTTCAAATATATTTCTATATAAAACTTTGATTCCCCATTGTGGCCCCGCCCTTCCCCCGGGGGTCATTATTTAAACAATTTAGAATCTACATTATACCAGGATGCTTCCACATAAGTTTCAGCTTTTCTGGCCCAGTGGTTCTTGAGAAGATAAAGATTTTTCCTCTATATTTCTATGTAAAACTTTGATACCCTATTGTGGCCCCGCCCTTCCCCCGGGGGTCATGATTTGAACAATTTAGAATCTACACTACACCAGGATGCTTCCACATAAGTTTCAGCTTTTCTGGCCCAGTGGTTCTTGAGAAGAAGATTTTCAAAGATTTTTCCTATCTATTTCTATATAAAACTTTGATGCCCTATTGAGGCCCCACCCTTCCCCCGGGGGTCATTATTTGAACAATTTAAAATCTACATTATACCAGGATGCTTCCACATAAGTTTCAGCTTTTCTGGCCCAATGGTTCTTGAGAAGAAGATTTTCAAAGATTTTTCCTCTATATTTCTATGTAAAACTTTGATTCCCCATTGTGGCCCCGCCCTTCCCCCGGGGGTCATTATTTGAACAATTTGGAATCTACATTATACCAGGATGCTTCCACATAAGTTTCAGCTTTTCTGGCCCAGTGGTTCTTGAGAAGAAGATTTTCAAAGATTTTTCAAATATATTTCCATGTAAAACTTTGATACCCTATTGTGGCCCTGCCCTTCCCCCGGGGGTCATGATTTGAACAATTTAGAATCTACACTACCCCAGGATGCTTCCACATAAGTTTCAGCTTTACTGGCCCAGTGGTTCTTGAGAAGAAGATTTTTTAATGACCCAACCCTATTTTTGTCTTTTCTTGATTATCTCCCCTTGCGAGGGGATATGTCCCTTCATTTTAACAATTTAAATTCCCCTTCACCCAAGGATGCTTTGTACCAAGTTTGGTCAAAATTGGCCCAGTGGTTCTTGAGAAGAAGTCGAAAATGTGAAAAGTTTACAGACGGACAGACGGACAGACAGACGGACGGACGACGGACAAAATGTGATCAGAAAAGCTCACTTGAGCCTTCGGCTCAGGTGAGCTAAAAAGGATATTTTCTCTGCTTTTGAAAAAATTATTGCTTTTACTTTTAAATATTTTGCAAAAACAAGACTTTTCTTCCACGCATGTGGTTTTTCTGGGTTTTATTCGTAATATTTAAGTTAAACACAGTTTTACCTTTATTTCTGTTTTGAAATAGGGAAAACAAAATACAGCTGGTAAAACTGGAGAAAATTTGCATTTTATAACAATCCTTCACTGGTCTCTTTATTTTTGGTATTTTCTGAATTACCATAGTTTGAATTTTGAACCTCCTCATAATATTTTGTAGAAAATTCGAGTGTAGTCAATATTTAACGTCAAGGTCGTTTTCGTTGCGCCTCATTGGGAACATGTTTAGTACTATTATATTTAATCAAATATTTTTATTATGCCCCCCTTCGAAGAAGGTAGGGCATATTGCTTTGCTGCTGTCCGTCGGTCTGTTGGTCCATTTAGTTTCCGTTCATTTTCTTCACAACCCTTGCACATACTGAAATGAAATTTGGTATACAGGTATATCAGGTTAATATCTAGGTCAAGTTCTGTTTTGGGTACCATTGCACCATTTTTGACAGAGTATGCCCCTTGGACTTGGAAAATTCCATTTATTTACAATTTCTGTTCATTTTCTTTGCAGAGGTTGCACATATTGAAATGAAATTTGGTATACAGATTTATGAGCTGAATATCTAGGGCAAGTTCTGTTTTGGGTACGATCGCACCATTTTTCTTAGAGTTATGCCCCTTGGACTTAGAAAATTTCCACTTATTTGCAGTTTCCGTTCATTTTCTTTGCAGAAGTTGCACTTATTGAAATGAAATTTAGTTTACAGATATATCAGATAAATATCTAGGTCAATTTCTGTTTTGGGTACGATCGCATCTTTTTTGTTAGAGTTATGTCCTTTCAACTTAGAAAAATTCATCTTATTTGTAGTTTCCGTTCATTTTCTTTTCATATTGAAAAAAAATTTAGTATACAGATTTTTCAGCTGAATATCTAGATCAAGTTCTGTTTTGGGTACGATCGCACCCATTTTGTTAGCGTTATGCCCCTTGGACTTAGAAAATTCCACTTAATTGCAGTTTCCATTCATTTTCTTTGCCGAGGTTGAACATATTGAAATGAAAATTAGTATACAGATTTTTCAGCTGAATATCTAGGTCAAGTTATGTTTTGGG